TTTTATACATGTGATTGTAACTATTTTTTTATATTTTTCTTAAATTTAGGTGTTAGTTGTCCTTTTCTAACACTTCCGGAAAATGGAAAAATCATATATTCAAATGAAAATAAATTTGGTTCACGTGCAACATATGAATGTGATCCAGGTTTTGTACTGGAAGGTTCAAAACATCGAAATTGTCAAGGTGATATGTGGTGGGGACCGACGGATTCTATTCCTTATTGCACGAAAGAAGGTATTATTAATTGAATATGTCAAGATGATCATCTATTGATGACTTTATCACATATATCGAGATAACAACATAAGATATCAACTTAGGTGTTCTATTTCTATTATGTATATATATATATATAAAAGTCTAGACTTGTTATAATGTTCATTGAATTAAACATAATTGTGATATAATTAAAACGACATATTAATGTGAATTAACTTTTTCTTTTTGTCTTTTAATTACTATTAGTTTTTTGTAATCGACCACCTGATATAAATAATGCAGTTAATGATATTCCAAGTACAATAACTACATTTCATGCTAGCTATTCAGTTACATATACATGTTTAACTGGTTATCTTGGGTATGTTCAAAAGAATACAATGAAATTCATTTATTTCTTTTGTTATAATATATAGAAATGGTACAACGAGATCAGAATGTACTTTTCTAGGTCAATGGACATTTGCAACATTAAAATGTACTCGTAAGTGATAAATATTATATTTTTTTGAATTGTTATCTATTTTAAAATAGCTATTGACTGTGGTTCACCGGGTATATTACGTAATGGATTTTTAAGTGGTGAACGATTTGATTATCCGAATATAATAGCATTTTTTTGTAATGATGGTTTTGAACTAATTGGAGAATCTACAACTAGAGCTTGTCAAGAAAATGGTCTATGGTCTGGAGCAATGCCACTTTGTCGAAGTAAATACAAAATAGAATCTAAGCATTTTTTAAATTTTAAGTTTTTAGAAAAAACATGTGGATCACCTCCGACAGTTTCCTATGGTGAAATAATTCAACCTGATCGAACAACAAATGAAACTATTCAATATATTTGTCAAGATGGTTATCAATTACAAGGATCAGCAGTTTTAAAATGTATTTCATATCAATGGCAACCAACACCACCCATATGTAAACGTAAGTTTTAATTTTCTTTTCTATTTTACAAAAAAAAGAAAATTTCATATTTAGCAATAATATGTGAAGATCCTCAAAAAATTTTCAATGGTTATATTAAATCTTCATCAAATAATACTTCATTACAATATTCAATTGGTTCAAAAGTAAAATTTCATTGTCCATCAAATTTAACATTAAGTGGTTCACATATATCGAAATGTCAAATCAATGGTAGTTGGTCACCGAAAATTCCTAAATGCAAAGGTTTATTGTATTGATTTTTATATTAATTCAAATCAATTCTGTTTTTTTCTTTACTTATAGAACCAATTTCTTGTTCAATTCCATCATTACCTTTCAATGCTCGTTATTTAAATCTTCATTCATCAAATCAACAAATCAATGATGGTCATCATTTAGAATATATATGTGGAAATTCTCGACGTCGTCATCGAATACATTGCTGTAGAGGAAAAATTTTACCAAAAATATTAAAATGTTTCAATGGTAAATGAAATTCAAACAAAAAATTCTATCCTATGAATTGTTTATATTTTAGGTTGTCGAGTTAAAAATGAACATGTCATATATTCAAAAACATTCTATCGACATCGAGAACAAATTCACTTTACTTGTAATAATAATACTTTACCTTTATTAAATAATGAAACAATACATTGTATCAATGGAACTCTTTCTAAACAACCAGTTTGTCATCAAATACCAATAATGTGTACTGTTCCTCATACACTTTTCTTACGTAATATCGTTAATACAACAATTCCATCTGGAACATTATTTGAAATTGGCTCATCATTTTCCTATACATGTATTCAAGATCATCAACCAATAAATAGTTCAGCAATTGTTGAATGTCTTGAAAATGGAAAATTATCTCATCATGCACAATGCATACCATTGTCATGTAAAGAACATCCACCAACAATACCTAATGGTCGAACAATATTTCGTTCAACAGCACATGATTCTCAAGCAAGATATAGATGTTTTCCAGGTTATAAACTTGAATATAATAATTTAGCAAAATTAACATGTCAATATGGTTCATGGTTACCTAAAGAACTACCCCGATGTTTACCAGGTAATAATAAATCTTCTTGATTTTTTATCTAAAATAAGAATTAGTTCTTGAGAATCATTTACTGTAAATAAAGTAAGATTTATTATACAATAGGAACTCATTTTATATCATAATGAAAGAAAAACATCAGCCGTTTTCGTATTTCTTATACAATGATATATAATAAACAAAAATATTTTTAGTCTTTTGTGCTAATCCTGGTCCATTATTACATGGACAAATCTATGTCGTACTTAAAGATGAACGTATATCACCAGTACCAGTTCGACGTGAATTTCGTTCATATATACCAAACGTACATCATGGTCGAACAATTGAATTTGAATGTGATTTAGGTAAGGATATTAGATTGATTTTTATTGCAAAAAAAAAGTCTTTTCTTTTATATAGGATATGTTCTTCATGGTCCAACTGGATTAACATGTAATCATGGTCAATGGATGCCAGCTGAAAGACCACGATGTATTCTTGGTAAAGTTTCTTTTTCATATTAATTTATTATTATTCATAAAATATTTCTTTTTATCTTATTAGAAAATCATGTACAACCAAATATTATCTTTACAGGATAAAATTTTGTGTTTTTTTTAAAGAAATGAAGCTGGCCTTCATACTTACTGCTTATAACAGCATCTCTATATAAATGAATGCATGACTCTTTTTTTTTGTCATTATTGGATGTTTTTTTTTGTATTTTAGTCAAGAATGATGTTTTGTTTTCTTTTGTCTAATTATTTAGTAAATGATATGAACATTGTCTAGTTCGTTTAGATAATTTGACAATTGATAATCAAAAAGTAATCATTTAGACATTACTGTGTCTTTTTACTCAGATGAGCTTTTATAGTGAATAAAATGTATATATATGTAATAATTATTTTATCTTTAAGAAAAATAACAAAAGAATTCTTTAGATAAATAAAGTATGTTTATTTTAATGTCTATATTCGATCGAGTACAAGTGATCGGGCTATGTACATATATATATTTGTTTATTTAAAAATCTTCATTTTATGCTTTATAGAGAACTAATATTATATAACTAAGTTTCACACATACCTAAAATACAAGATCATTGAGTTTGTATTCTAATCATTTTCTCTTAGTGTCCTGTCGATCTAAGACGACGAGAAATGCATGGTTACTGCATGTCTAATGCGTGATCACTTGGTGACAAATTGAGCCCGTAGGAGGCGACGAAGAAGAAGAAGAGCAAAGAAAAAGAAAAGAACGAATTTTTGTCGTTATTATTCTCTTAATTTTTCCCGTCTGCATATAAACTTAATTTACACATATGTAATCGTCGCCGATCAAGAAGAGAAACATTCAAACGCATATATTCTGATACTTCAGATCGGGACATTATACTCACTACAAATACAGCTGCTATGGATAAAGGTGTTCTTCGTCGTTACCTAGATTTACCACAACCTGATGACAAAATCATGGCTACTTATGTTTGGATTGATGGTACTGAAGAAAATCTTCGAGGTACATATGAAGTATTTTTTAATATTTTATCTACATCATTGAGATAAATAGGTAAAACTCGAACAGTTGATAAAGAACCAAAATCACATAAAGATTTACCTTGGTGGAATTTTGATGGATCATCAACAGGTCAAGCTGAAGGTTCAAA